GCAGAAAGTACAGGGAAGGGGAAGAGAGAGCTAATAGCTCATGATGCAGAGTTTTCAATTTTAAAAAATGAAGACCTTCTGAGATCTACTGAACACAAAGCGATGTGCTTAACAATGTGAATCGTACATTTCAAAAATTGTCATGTTGCAAATGAGAGGTTTCTGTATCTATTTCTTGTGCCTTTTCGTGGGCTCTTTTACTCGTTTGCTTGTTTGTTTTGTCCTACTGCAACATGTTTATATCATATTTATTATATTATGTTATATTATATTTATTATATTAATGTATTATCCCTTAGATGACTGTTGTTCTCTAATGAGACACAGAGAGGGCAGGATCCAGATGGACACAGAGGTGAATGGAACTGGGAAGGGTAGAGAAAAGAGAAACTGTAGTCAGAATATATAGGAAAAGAAGCTATTTCAATAAAAGAAAAAGATGTGACTGTTATTTAATGTTAGTGATCAGTATTAACTCTACAAGGTGTTATTTCTAAAAGCCAAAGGTACAGGTCAACTATGTGTCTGCCCAAGTATCTAATTATGTTCTAATAAATAAATGGGAGTTCCATCCTAACTTACAATTTTAAAGTCATTTTGACTAAAACATATTATGGGCTAAGAAAGGGATAGATAAATCATTAAAAAAAACTCTTGATACATGTTGAATTTATCATTTTTTTTTTTAAAGAAGACAGAGTTAGCTGTGCCTTTATAGGACAAGACTTCATGGCGGATGAAGTCAAAGCCAGAATGATGGGATACATCTTGGTGTGAGTTCCAGTTGGTTCCTGGGTGAATTTCATTCTATTTTGTCTGACATCAAGATTTTAGTGTACATGGCTCATTAGTGCATTGTAGGCACTTCTATAATGGCAATTTATTACACTTGCAGGTGACAGAAGCCCCTTTGAAGAATTGAGTTCTGACCTTGTCTTTCAAGCCACAACACCTGCTGAATGGGATGGTCTGCCTCTTTTTCTCAGCCCCCATACAGACAGTGGGAGTTTTTGTGTGTGGAAGAGCAATGCTGAAAGCTTTGGCAGGAAGGCTTTTGCAGCAGCCTGCATGTCGAACTGCATGGATCAACAATTTCTCAATTAGAAGAAGATAGACGAGAAGATAAAGCATTCGGTGACTGCGAAGCTTCAGCAGCAGCTGAGGAATATTCGAGAAACATCTGGCTGGAATCTATTTCTTCTTAGGTAAGCACTCCTTTTTGCAACCAGCATACATAAAGCATGAAATTGGCATCCCCACCTCTTCCCAACAAGAAAGAAGCTTGATTTATCACTCCTCTGATGCAGGTATGCAAATGTGGGGTGTCATGAGGCATGGCCACTGAAGACCTCCAATGCTTTTGGATCTCGTCTGAGGGTAGCATTTGTCAGTATAAAAAAATAACTGAGAAAAAGGGAGAATTCAATTTATGATGATTTGAGATTTTTTTTCATGAAATTTGTGTCTGAGCATGGGGTATTATTAATACTAAGTTTCTCTTAATTTTTGAAACTGGCTCTTTTCATAGCTAATTTATTCTCCTGCTTTGCTAATTTAATAATGCCTGCCACTTTAGGCAATGAAGGCAAATTGTTTTCTCTATTTCTAGCCTCATTTATGTGATCACAGTACTTTAAAACCAGGGAGCTGTATTGCTGCTGTAATATGAAAGACTGTAACAGACTGTAACAGAAGATTTCCTATTGCTCATCAATCAAACCAATAACCAGTCATTTTCTGTATGCATGTATACACATGTGCTGAGATGCATGCCTTCTCCTTAGTATGGGATGATTACACACATACACACATACATGCATATTTGGAGGGCAGAAGTTAACCTCAGGTGTTGTTCCTCAGGATCTCTCCACCATGTTTTCTGAGACAAGCTCTCTCACTGGAGCTGGGATCTTGCAAATTTGGCTGGGCTGGCTGGCTTGGTGGGTCACCTGTCTCAACCTCTTCAGTGCTGAGCAGGATCACCAGGTTTTGCTTTGTTACTTGAGTTCTGAGGCTCAGTCTCCAGTCCTCCCACTGGCTCTCCAAGCATCTCACCAATTGCTTTGTTTTTGAGCCTTAATGAGTGTGTTACAAACAGGGGAGCTGAATTCAAATCAGACTTACTCAATTCATGGCAAAATATGAATACTCAGGCCATTTCATGTAATGACGTACCTTATGTAATATTGTAATGATGTTGCATTAGGATTACTATCCATAAAAGAATACCTTGAAATCAGCCTCACTTTATGGGATATACACTGATCATATTTAATCTGTCACATCCAAAGTGCTTTCAATGTTCATCTATAATAAATGTGCTTTCAAACTAATGTACCTGAAAGAAAAATGTTCAAATGCAGGATTTCCAGTGGACTGATGTACTTCCTACATACCTAAGCTATCCTTCACAACAGTCATGCAAATCAGGTAATTTACATATATTTCTGTCTTTTCCCATTATCATCAAGTCTTTAAATATTTGTGAGTTTCAAGTGTGACTTACTTCAGATTTCGCTTTGTAATAGTATGGACTATTATTTATGCAAGGCTTTCTTTAATACAGAGAAAGGGAATGTTTTAGAATTTTTTTTCTAGAAGGGAGTGGGATTAGCTGTAGATCCCCACAGAGTTAAAACTAGTCCAGAAGCAAAGCAAGGCTTAACACTTCACAGGGGACTTCAGGAGACAGCTAGTCTACCCTGTTATCTTTAGGTATACTACACAGTTTCATTAAAACCATTAAGATCACAACTGTATTAAAACAACCTGGAGTTTTAAGAAGTGGATTTAGAAGGGACAGAGCTTATCTTTCTCCCTATGTGTACACTGTAGGCAGTCAGGACACTTGTTTCAGTAGACACTGTTGCCAAGTATTAGTAAGTAAGTTTCTGGTGTTTTCATTTGCATAGGACCCTACTTGTCCAGACTATTTGACTATTCATTAGCATTGACCCAGAAGAGGAGAAATTAAGGAGAGGAGATTAATTAAGTTGTTTCTTTTCTCCTTTCTTTCTTTCTTTCTTTCTTTCTTTCTTTCTTTCTTTCCTTCCTTCCTTCTTTCTTGTAAGGATGACCAAGAGATTTGGATACCTTCGAAGAATGAAGAATGAAATTCCAGATATCAGTGTGGTGTAGCAGTCTATGCCAAGAACTAATCAGAAGGTGACAAGGAAGTCTGGAGCAAATACTAGCACTGCTCCTGAGGGTGGACTTCTTCAGGTCCCCAAGGCCTGTTGAATGCAGAATTGCATCTAGAAAAGAAAATAAGAATGTATCCCTCATTTATAGTTGTGGCAGGGGACATAAAAATTTCTTTTGTGCAACTAACTTTAAAATTATCTTTTGGGGATATATACCATAATATAACTAGTTGTACATTTATAATTTTAAATTTTGTTCACAAGTTGAACTCGAATAAAGAAAAGACACATGTGTATATATACTTGTTAACTTAAATAAAAAAACATAAGTATATAGCAAAAGCCAAGTCTAAGGTAAATAGAAGATTCTGCAGGAATTCCAAATCAAAATCGAGTGCAGCCCAGATTTCTAAAACAGAGGGCCATGATATTCATATTCGTTCTCTCTCTCTCTCTGTCTCTCTCTCTCTCTCTCTCTCTCTCTCTCTCTCTCTCTCTCTCTCTCTCTCTCCCTCCCTCCCTCCCTCCCTCCCTCCCTCCCTCCCTCTCTGCCCATCTTTATTTCCTTTTCAAAGAACCCTCCACAGTATCCTTCCAGTCCCTCCAGAAAAGCCCAGTGTCAGAAAAACTGAAAGAAAAGAAAGGAACATTGGTTTGAAACTAAGGGGCAGGTGATTAATTCAACCATGGGGGCAAGCGGGAACCTACAACATACTTTTAGGATTTAGATCCTTTCAGGGCCTCTAGGAGTGAGGCAATCAGGTAGTCCCACTTTAAGTATTTGACAAGGAACAAGTCACTGGAGAGTCACTTTCCCGAAGTTTAGCAATAAAAGCAAAACTTTGTCCCCTTGAAGATTGCTGCACATTTTGGTAGGCTAAACCGCAAATGATGGTTTCCGAGCCTGGGCTGTCCTTGTTGGAGGGCATGACGCGCCATAGATTTTTATTTTCACGAAACACACTCCCAGAGGCTTGTGGCCTTCCAGACAGCAGCTGGCGCCAGGCAAAGGCATAGCCTCCGGCCGGAGAAGCTACTGGCTACCGCTCCGCTCTGCTCTTGGCTGCGCATCTTTGGCAGCGCTGGCCAGCACCACAGACGAAGCTTCCTGATTTGAGCAGACGCTGTTCCCTTCTGGAAGGGCTTTGGGGGGCTAGCAACTGGAAGTTACTCTGCGGATTTTAGGCATCGGGAGCTGGTTTGAAGGAAAGGAGGGACTGGGTTTGGAGAAGAGCCGGTGCCTCTTACAACTCTTGGTGCCTAAAATGAGTGAGATGGTGGCCAAATACAGCGGAGGGAGAGTATCTCGATTTTGAATATCCAGGACTTCTGGATGCGCCACCGATGTGTGCAGCAACTGTCGATTTGGCAGCAAACTGGACTCGGTCAATTGCAGTTCCTTTCTCACTTCAAGCTTACCTCCCTCAGAGCGGTGCTCCGACAGTCTTCCCAGCCTCCAGGTGGGAGGGAGCTGAGCGAGAGGGAATCAAAAGTCAGCTTGCTTTTGCTCTCTGCTGGTGGCAGATGCACAGCTGGTTTGTTTTAAGCAGGTTGGTATTGAAGGAGGAAAGCATCTTTGCTGGCTTGGGGCGGAGGATGCTCAAAGGGTTTGGAGGAAGAGGTTGGGAGTACAGTTGTGTAGATTATTGTTGGAAGAACGTGATATAGCATGTTAGATGCTTCCCCAAGCCACCGCCCGGAGCCCCTTGGAGAAGAGAAGGTGAAGAGGGCGTGGGGGTGGGGGCCGCCTGGCAGCCCAAGGAGCGCGTGGTGGCCAAGGGGGCTGTCTCTTTAAGCGCTCCAAAGGGGCTGGGGCCAGAGGGCGGCGAGCGCGTTGCTATGGCACCGGGGCTGCGGGGGATGCAGGACCGCTGGTCTCACTGGTCTCCAGTCGCTGATGGCAGTGCAAGGCTGTGCAGCTCTTGGGCTACAGTGCCCGGGGTTGGTTTGGCCGGCCACTGCTAGCACGGGCGCTGTTGCGGGTGTCGCCTGCTGGGATCAAGCTGCTGCGGTGCCCTCCGCAGCAAGACGCACGTCGCGGTCCTCGAGAGCGAGCCCGGCACTAGCAACTTCTGCTTGGCGAGCCTAACTTCTGCGCGGGGTTCGGACTTGAAGATTCCGAGTGGGGCACCGCGCGCAGTTGGGGCGGTGGCCCCGCCAGCTCACCGTCACCGAGATGACCTCCTCACTGTGTTTCTGGTGCTTCTGCGTCTGGGCCGCTGCCAACTGGCCGCCAGGAAGCGCCCTACAGCTCCAGCCCGGCATGTAAGTGGCGCCCGCCAGCTCCGGAACGCGCGGGTACAGCAGCCTAGGTCCGTGCGCCCCCGCCCTAACCGAGCAAAACCGTGGCAGAGGCAGAAACTAGGTCTCTCCGGGAAGCGGTGGAGGGATTGGGGTGCTACTAGGCACTAGGTATGAGAACTTGGGAATGTCACTGACCGGTTTGGGGCAGGAACGTAATCACACATGCTAGACCTCGGAGCGCCACCGCCCAGCAGAACTACTGCCAATGAAGGTCCAGTGCTTTCAACCTGATTTTTTTTCAAAGCACCTGACAGACATCACCCCTCTTCCCGCTCCCTGCCCGGGAGTTTGAGTGTTTGTATGTACCCGTATGTGTTTCACTTAATTTCATGTTTGGGGCGTAACTGGTCACATTCTACAAGGCTTTTGCCTGAAATCTTGTTGAATGCGAAAAATCTTGAGGTTTAGTGTGTGTGTGTGTGTGTGTGTGTGTGTGTGTCTGTGTCTCTCTGTGTGTAGAATCCAGTGTGCTCCTGCACATTTTCCCCCTTTTTTGTGAGGTATGATGAAGAATGGATTATTTCACAGGTCTGATGAGAGAGGCAAGGAGCCAGCAAAAGCACGTGTCAGTAGCTGAGGTTAGCTGGAGAGTTAGGAGGAAGGGGTACAGGGAGGATTCCTTCTGCATCAGAAATGGGTAGTGAAATGTCTGGTTTTGGTCCCCTGTGGAGCACTGGGAGAAGTTCTTGAGAAGTCTAATAGCCGGGTCTCCTTTACTGGCTGCAGAAGTTTGTGCCAGATCTTGCTTTACAGCAGGCTCTTCAGCTTTGAACATTCTGGTGGAGGAGCCAGTTCAAATTCTGCTTTTCCTGCTGTGCTCTCAGGCAGTTATGAGCAGACAGCAAAGCCCTTCATCTCACCGTTCCGTCTTCTTCACTTTTCTGAAATACAGATATTATATAACAGAAAAAGAAAGTTTAGAGAAATAACCCAAAGCCTCACTTCTTCCTGTAAGAAAAATAGTGTTTGGGGTTCACTTTACATCTCAATATTTCATCCTTTGTGAAATCCAGTTTGCTACCTGATCACACTGCCCAGGCCATTGACAATGAACAGGGCCAGGATGTCACTGCATCTCACAACTTCATGACTACATAGTTGCTAAATGTGGATTCCTTTGAAACTGGAGGAGGTATTGTGAGTTTGTTTTCCCTGGAATTGATAAGATTTGCATTGTTTACTTTGAAGAGGTAAATTCAGACTCCAGCTTTTCTCAAAAGCATCACTCTGGGTAACCTGTGCCGGTGGAAAGCATTTATCTTATAAATTACTTTAGAGCAAACTTGTGCTAGCAGTGTCAATGTTAAAGTGAACCCTAGTTGCCTTGCTTGCTAGTCACCCACGCACGCCAAGTCCCCACGCCAAGTAACCCCAGTGGGGAGACACATTCCACTCCACTCTTATGAGGGAGCGTTTATCTTCTTTCAGTGTTGATTTGGCCTGGAATGATGATACTTCTGTGTGTGTGTGTGTGTGTGTGTGTTTAATAACTGTAGCACATTTATATATCAGGTGAGATGAAGTCAGATACCAAAACCCAATATAAATTTTTCAAAGATTTAATTGAAATGTGTTTACAAAGGAATTGCTGAAGCCACTCTGATGATTTTTAATACTTTCCGGTAGGGGAAATCTGGTCATATTTGTATGCAGTCCTCTCTGGTGCTGGAGTTTGCTCATAAGGAACCATGGTAGGTTCTATTGCCAGATTTCTTTGCAATTCTTGGCATGTGGAATACAGCTGTGCAAAGCACTGAGCTACAACAGCACACCTACTTATTTGTTAAGTGTGAGAGAATTCTTCCTGTGATTATTATTTACCTCTGAGGCCTATGACCAGAGAAAGTAGGCTTCATTAATGAAGGTTGACCATCCTACTGGCCCACACTCACAGGTCATCAATGCAGGAAAGAGTTGTAATGTCTTAGAGGACCAAGTGTAAACAGGGACAGCTTATCAGTAGTCAGATTTATACACATGTTACATTTATGATTGTATTTCTTAGAAGGCAAACTCATTTAAAAATTTCTTAGTGAGACAAATTATGTGTGCCTTGGATTTTCCAGTTCTCATGATGATCGCTCAATCTGAGGATTTTGTTTGAACCCATGCTGGAACCTTTGGATAACTCACGTGAGGTTGGTTCAAAGAATCAGCCCGATGTTGAAGTGCTCAAGTGTGAGTAGCTCTCACAAGCCACAGCCCCTTGGATTCTTATTTAGACAACAGATATCTTCTAGCTACTTTGCACTTACCAATCCTGTAAGGCAAGCAGTGCTCTCATGCTCAATAGGGAGGAAGAGGCAAGGCTGAGCTGAAATTTGCATGACCAGATCTGAACACAGTTTGACTGCAGAGCAGGACTTCTTCCTTTCTTTCTTTTCCTCCTCTTCCTCTTCCTCCTTTTCTTCCTGTTCTTCCTCCTCTCCTCCCCTTCCTCCTCCTTCTTCTTGTTTTTGACAAGGTGTCTCATGCAGCCCTTGCTAGACCTGATCTCACTCACTCTGTAGCTGAATGTGTCCTTGAACTCCTGATCCTCCTGCCTCCACCTTGCAAGTACTGAGTTTACAAGCAGGCCTGGACTGTCACATCTAGTTCCAGAGTTGCTGTTTAACTATTCCAGGACATTGTGGCTTAGGCTGTATCAATGGAATTTGCTTTAATTTCCCTATATCTTCTCAGTGGAACCGAAGCTGACATTTTCAACCTAGGGGATGTTAAGGCACTTTGGGAACCTCTTCTGGGTTTCAAGCACTCTGGGTTCTGTAGACAGTCAATGCTTCATTTGAGTGCTAATTGCCTCACAATGCATGGGATAGTACTTACCAGAAAGTTCTGAATTTCCCCTACCTACTGAAGACTATGAGAAATTTTCAGTTACTGCTTGGAGATGGTCTTATGGCTGTTTCACTTATTCGATAGACTATATCATGCTATAGCCTTGAATCATCAGTAATCCTCCTGCCTCAGCCAAATGAATGCTCAAATTAGAAATGTGAGCCTCTTGGTGATGACATTTTGATAAGGGGATATTGATGAGTTTACTTATATTAATGGTACTCTGTACATTTCCCTCCCCCAGGATTAAATAGAAGTAAATAAACTTTATCCAAATCTTTGAGGCATTAAACGACAATGAGCAGCTGTTAAACAATGTATAAAAATTTAGCCTTCCTGGTATATGATTGTGAATACTTGCATGATAATGGAATGAAAATAATGAACACAGAGTAACTAAAGATCCCACCTAGCAGGACAGAATGAAGACAGAGCCATTTGCCTGAGTTTTTGAAATCTGGGTTATTTATTTATGTTTGTCTAACACCTGGGTGGGGAGACTTTACAAAGGAAACGTCAGTGTGTGACCCAGAAGTCTCCTGTACTGTATGTGACAGCCCACATCCAGACTCTAACATGGGCATCTCACACAGGCAGTTCTGACATAGAATCCAAAGCATGGCATGTAGACTTTGTATCCACTTGTGTTAGAGGTTCTGCTGTGCAGTGAGAAAAGCCTACATACCGAGTAAAGAAAGAAGAGCTTGCTTAGCTCCTAGTGTCTGAGTTTTCAGTCCATGATTGGCTTGCTTTGCCATTTCTGGGCTGTGATAAGGCAGAATACCATTCCAAACAGTGTGGTAGAGCAAAGTTGCCCACCTTAGTATAGACAAGAAGTAGAAGGGGGGCACACAGCTAGGGTGAGAGTGAGCTATATCCTTCCAGGGTGTGCCCTTCCTCAAACTAGGTCTACCTCCCATTAAGTCCATTAAATTGAGATTTTATCAGGGATTTATCTATTGATGAGGTCATTGCCCCGAGGAGCCAAACACTTCTCTCAATGCTCACCTGTGAGCATTGCAATTAAGACAAGACTTCTGAGAGGACCCTTCATGTACAAACCATATTAGTACTCTCTCTACCACAGATATGTAGAAAAGTGGTCCACACTTCTGCATCTAAATGGGGAAACCTGGGGCTAAAATGGGAGGGGCAGGGTGTCAAGGAGTTTAGAACCTTGTTGTTTTCATGGTTGAGTGTCATAGTCACCTTGATCTCATTGTTGTCTCTAGAGACTGTTTCTGTTTGCCACACTCCCTTCTCCATCTTCATCCCTTTTAAACTGTACCCGCTCTGATCTTTCTGTTAGATCTAAATCTATTTACTTATATTTAGAGATAGTTGTTCTTTTTGCCATTCCACCAACTGGACCCAAACATGTGCCTTACAGTTTTAGCAATCCATGCTTTATTGATATTATTGATGTCATACACTTGGTTCCTGACCTCTGCTTCTATATCTCACATGTTCAGTTCTTTCTTTTGTCTGCCTTGGGAAAAATTTCTCACTCTCCCCTGGATGCTTCAAGAATTCTGGCTTGTTTTCTCTGCATCCCTCTTTTCTTTATTTGTGGCTCTCTCATTTGTACTATTTCCTTTCCATTGACAAATATTTCTTCTAGTTTCTGTTTGTAGACTGTCTTCTCTGTTGACATTGCTTGATTCTATTTCTTTGCCTCGTCTTTAATGTCTTAAAACCAGTTCATTATCGCTTCTTTCTGTATCCTACTCCCTGTCCCTCCCCTCTCTACCCCTCCTCTTCCTTTTCACTCCTCCCCTCATGTCTCCCTTCTTCCTTCTCTCTCTGTCTTATTCTTTCTTTGTTCTATATATATTTGCTCAAGAGTGTGTAACCCAGCAGATAACTCCCAGAATCTTCTGTCAGTTGACAACTTAACTTTTTATTATTTATAAAATTAATTATAATTTATTATAATAAACACACAAATAATGAACACTATATGGCTAGATTAACATTGCCACTCAAACAAACATTCGCCCTGCCACAGTCTCTGTACATCTCAGTGGCTATCCATACAGGTAGAACAGCCATTCTGAAGCTATGGGACTTCACTTAGGGTTTGACACTTTTACTATCAATTGCAGGTGTGTTTAGTTTATGCC